AGCATCCACCGGCTTCATTACTCCCACTCCCAGGAAACTATCCTGGGGGTGCCAGAAAGAGGACACAGTCAAGCTGAAGGACTTCTTGACGCAGTACGAAGAGGATCTCTGGAGAGTTAAAAGAAAGCAAAGTTTATCTGTTAAAAAGGTCCACCTGACTCGCAGCATCTGTTACGTCGACCTAGCTGCCCAAGACAGCAACGGTTTTCATCCAAACAGGGGTGAAGTGCTGAACCCTGCTTTTGTTGGAGATCCTAGCCGATGAATGACTGAATTCACTGTGGACAATTTAATCTACGCAACAACTCAGCAACCCTCTAAGATGTGTGATGTTTGAAGGAGTAACTGCAAACAAACCCCTGTATGGAACATGAGAGGTATTTTATAGAAGGCCTCTGCTACAACAGTTCATCTCTCACCACAAGACTAAAGGTGTGAACCCATGAACAGGAAGTAAGAACTAATGCACAATAAGATAGGTCACTTTTTGGAGAAATGAAAACAAAACTTTTTTGCTTTGTGTGTGATGAGTCAAACATGTTAAACACTTCCACTGCTCATATATTAGCAGCACAAGCACAAATAACACGAGACATCCAATCATGTTACTTTATTAGCTGCATCAACAGAGCAACGGAAATTCAGTCTCTGTGTCTCTGCACCTGTGATACACGATGTGTAAGGTACAGTAAATGTCATTTTCTGGTAGATAATTTTCAGCTTAGTTAATTAATTAACTAACTAATAATTAACTGAACTTACTAAATAATTTGGTTGTGATACATGTGTTTGCATAAACAATTGACTAAAGTAAACACTATGTACTTTTCAATGAGTTACATGTCATTGCTTTCAGTCAGCAGTTGCTGCTCAAGAAAATGTGCCATATTTGTATAACATGGATCTTATATCGTTGTATATTACATTGTTTGTAACTACCCTTTAAGCAAGCTTGTTATACAAATACATTCAACCTTTCAGTTTATTCTGTTTTGGCTTCTCAATATGCTGCGTGTCATTCCCACTCTCTGCCCCCCTTTCCTGTCTGTCTTCAGCTGTCACTATAATAGAAGGCAAAAAAAATACTCACAAAAAAATAAAAAATGATGAATTGTTCTCACATCTCCAAGTGAACATGTCCGTGGTCGTTGGTCACTGTGGTTTCCTGATGACTTTGTTCACCTTAAAAGAACAAGCACATTCACAGTCTGTGCCAATAATAAAGTAGAACATGTTAACAAATGACACCAAACTATTTTATCATTAACAAATGATTTTAAAAAGTGATATTCCAACAGCTATACAAAGTACTGTTGTGCATATTCCAACTCAGAGTAGACTCGTACTAAGGAAGGGCCCATTAGCAGTATTTAAAGTACTTACAGCAAGTCAAGGGAGATAATGCTTTATATGACCTGAATAACAAGGGAGTAATTCATTTGTTTGGGGGATTGGTGATGAGTTCAAGGACTCTAGGTTTCATGGAGTGGTTAACATGCCTTACAAAAATAAAATTGGAGAACTTGTGATTTCTAAGAAAGATCCCTTAATATCAGAAGAAGGAAGTGAGAGCAACAGGATGGCACACGTTGAAATAAAGCCAAGAGATTTAAAGCAAAAATAATAATAAAAAAGAGCTAATATAGCTCCTTTCCCTTTTTGGTATGGTTTATGGCAGTAGTATCGCGGGAACAGTTCACAGCACAAGACAAGTTTAAAAAACACTTCCCCAACGTACGTCTGATGTGACAAAAGTCTGTGCAGACCAAAGAGTGCATGTATGGTGTGTTAAAAGTGGAATGGAAACTATAAGTCATTTCACAATAGGAGGAAATTACATTGGTACAGCACAAGCCTGGAAATTATTGTCACTTTATTTGCAGGTCTGACCCTGAGAGGACAAGATGGATTCTTTAAAATGGACTCTGTTTTTGGTGTACCTAAACATCCACGGTATGTAACATTCTCTACACTGTATATGACAAAAAGTACAATTAAACTGTCAGCTTTATGTCTTTGTGTATTTTATTTTGTGTTGTATTACAGTTATTCAAACTGATAGCTCACCTTGGACAATTAAGGTGCCATCCTCAGTTAAAGGTCTCCCTGGATCCTGTGTGGTGATCCCCTGCTCATTTAACTTCCCAAATCCTTCAGGGAAGACACTCACTGGATTCACAGGGATGTGGACTGATGCGACAAATCAGATCTTCTATCACCCAGATAAGTCTAAAGTGATGAAGCAGTATCAGAATCGGGCAGAGCTGATCGGAGACGTCGGGCAGAAGAACTGTTCACTTAAGATTGATCCCCTTCAACAAAGTGATACAGGACCTTTTCATTTCAGGATTGAAATACAAAACTTGGACAAATATTCTTACAGAGAGAACACAGTCTCTATTACAATGATGAGTAAGTAACATTTTCAACAAACATCTTTAAAAGTACAGTTAATGCCTGCATTTTCCCAGAAGTCTGTTTTTAATTCTAGTGTTGTTTCCTTGATGTTTTCCTTTTGACATTCTGAATATTATTCATAAATACGTTAATAACATTAATAAGTCAGTCCTAAACAATGCTGGGCTCATTACTAAAAGAAAATAAATCATTTTCTTATTACTCCCTGCCAACATTAGTTACAGTACACACAGTTGATAATTGCATCCTTTCTCCTCTTCTCTACCTCTTATGTGCATGAATCCATAAAAATTGCAATCTAGATGAAAAGCACACCTTGCTCAAATTGATGACAAGACACAATCTTTTACTTTCCCAAGAATCTGTCTGAAATGACTTAGTCAAACATTTCATCCACTGCATATTCAGCTACAAGCTTAATTAGGTTGTTGTCGCTTGTAGCCTGCTGTCCACGATTAAATTCCAGCTATGTTTGTTAAAATCAGAGTAATGGAAGTTTTCTGACCGCCATCGTGTAGTGGCACTGTTACTGTGCTGATCCCAGAACACTGAAGACAGCAAAATGAACTATTGTTGTTTTGATAAAGTAGTCAGGCAATAATTCGCCCTTTACCATCATTCTGTGAGCAACCATAATCTGATTTGTTTATGTTGCACACGGTGTGTGAGCAGCAACAGTGAAAGTAACTTTGATAAAAGTAACTTTGGTTACCTGGCTGATAGGTTGGAGGTGTTCCTCTAACATCTTATTATGGCTGATTATCCCTCCCATATTTCAAACTGTCAAAATCAGAAAGTGCATGCTGTCTTGTTTTGTAGAAGATAGTAGCCAGTGTCAAGGTAACTGACTAACATTTTGCACTTCCTGTGACTGTCTTATTTTAGTTAATGTCCTAAATATATCCTAAAACTTGAAATCAGAAACCTTTGAATTTGTGATGTAACTATGAATTTAGAATTAGTTTGATTATGTAGAACTGCCTTTGTGGAAACAAAGCAAGTTAAGTTGACATACAAAAATGAAGTTATCATTTTGGGACTGTTATATATTTCTAACCGGAACTGACTAAGGGTAATATATGAGATAGATGAAGTCAAAAATAACTCAAGTCAGTTACTGTGTTGTTTTTGTTATGTCAGCAGTCTCTTGATTTAGGATTTTCAAGGTCCTTTTTTCAATTTTTGTCAACTAAAGTGCTTCAACAGTTCTTAAATATCAAAACGAGGCCAGAATACATAGTTTTGAAAGACATAACATAGCTTTTGCCTGGCCTTTCGGGGCGGCAGTAGGTCAGTGGTAACCGTAGCGTGTGTGCATGATTTTATTTAGGGACCTATGTGTGTGTTTAAAAATTGAGTGAAACATTTTTTTTCCTTCTTTCTTGTTGTCACAGGTGAACTAAATCCGATACATTTCTCTGTGAAAGAGGAGGTAGTGGAGGGTCAGACTGAGTTTGCGTCTTGCTCTGTGTCTCACTCCTGCCCCTCCTCTCCTCCCGTCTTCACCTGGAATCACTCTGGAGAGGCACTTTTCCAAGAACAGCAGCTTGAAAATGGTCAGTGGAATGCAACATCTAAGCTGACCTTTCATCCCACCAGAGCCGATCACAACAAGCCTTTACAGTGTACTGTGAGATACAAGGGAGGGCAGGAGCATGAAACATCCAAGGTCCTCAAAGTAAAATGTAAGTATGTGACAATAAAAGATGATGCTCGTAAGTGCCTCACAGTTAAAAAGACGATGAAAAGAATCTTTTTAAATAATTAGAAGAACTTGGAGCAAGGAAGCCCTATTGAAGAGAATAAAGATGTCATTTAAAACAAAACCTCACTGGGGCCAGAAAGCAGGAAAATAGCTGAACTAATAATTTTCTGATCAGCTGGGATGCCCTGGAAGCTCACCTGGTAGAGTGCCCGCCCCATGTAATAAGGCTGAGTGCTTACTACCCTGGTCCGTGTTTGATAGGCACCTATGCTGCATGCCGTCCCCTCTCTCTTTCCCCCTCCCTGCCTCTCTTATTGCCTCTATCATTGTCAATAAGAGCATGTTGCAATGCTAGCGGTAACATTTAGCTCAAACCACCACTGTGCCTAAGTTAAGCCTCACAGAGCTGCTAACATAGCTGTAGACAGCTCAGCTTTGACATTACTTTGTGAAAGACTACAAAATGTAAACATTTGTCTGTAAAAAACACTGTGGTATTATCAATTGTATGTTTCTGTGCAGACGCCCCAGTGAATGTGAGGGTTGAGCACGAGTCAGCTGTAAAGGAAGGAGAAACAGTGCAGCTGACGTGCTCCAGTGACGCTCACCCTCCTGCCAGCAGCTATGAGTGGTACAATGAAACTCGTGCTCAACTGCATCAGGGAAACGTCTTCAGGCTGCCAAATGTCTCCAGACACCACTCAGGCACCTTGTACTGTACTGCCATCAATGAAGTAGGACGAGGCAATTCAAGCCTTGTGCAGCTCAATGTGTTATGTAAGTAAAGAGTTACAGTCCTGATTTAAAAGAGAACTTTTATTTAAACATATATAACAGGAGTATGGCTAACTCACAACTGCATTTCTTGTCCTTACAGATGCTCCTGAGATTAAGGCTATATCCTCCTGCTCCTCAGAGGGAGATATGGTAAAGTGTGTGTGCATTGTTGAGTCCAGGCCTCCCAGCATGGTCCACTTTGTGCTTTCTGACAGAGTCCTGCCAAGCACCAAGGTAGAGAAACATGACTCTGTTACCATCGGGACTCTGCAAGCAGAGCTGGGATCTTCTGCGTTTGTCCTCTGTCTGGCAAACAATACGCAGGGCAATGCCAACGTCACACTCTTTTTACCTGTTAACAGTAAGGAGGTTTTACCATTTAAAGAAAGCATGATATGTGCATGACATAGGCCTATATAAAGAATGTTGGCATGAATTGTATACTGAGAAAGAGAAAAATGACACCACGTGGTTCCTGTTTGGACAGGTAGGATGCAGAGTCTTTATATTATTATCGCCATTGGAGCAGGTGCAATTTTGGTGATACTTTTAACAGCAGTGGGAGTTGTTAAAAAATGGTAAGTTGATATTCAAAGTGTTTCTGTTTGTCTTTTCAGTTTCTTTTTTTACTATAGCATTCAAATCTGGGTGATATAGGACATTTTAAGTGTGCATTTTTAAAAATGCAGTGGTAAACAGACACCAGAAAGGAATATATAGGCCTACTGTACATTGAAGTCGTGCATGTGGAGGTATTTGGTGGAAATGTGTCTAATAATAATAGTACGACTACATCACTTTGATGGGTGCAGAAAGTCAGCTTGCAAATGTATAAAGGGTATGATAGAATGTGTTCAATGCTCCAGTTTGCATGGTTGGGTTTCAGTGGTTGTGCAAAGTGTCTTAGCTCTTTTCAGAGTCTTAAATTCAAAAATGTCACTCTGCCAGTAGGGGGAGATCTGGAGAGGCACCAACATCGCACATGAAAACCATGCATGCAGAAAAAGATGTGGAGCTCTCTCAGTATGCTGCAACAAAAAGGTTTTAGTTGTTCACCTCAGTTTAAAAGAAAGTTTGTCCATGATGTTAAATGACACAAGGAAGCTGATAATGCATAACCTTGTGTGTGTTTAGGCGGTAAATTTGTTAAACATGTTTGTTTTCTGCCTTCTGTCCTCAGAAAAGAGAACTATGATGATGTGCATTGCCCTGGCATTTATGCCAATGATCCTGTATATGGCAACATGGAGGTATATAAAGATTTCTTCACTCATTCATTATTATTTCCATGCATGAAAAAACAGGATGAGTTAATCATGTTTCCTTTACAGGCTGACGATGATGCAGTATACGCCAACATGTAACATCGTTGAATTCACTGGAGGAACAAGAAAGTTGTAAAAAATATTACTTTTATCTGTATATAACACATTATTTTTCTGTCTCTGTTTTCTGTCTGTGTTGTGATTCACATACAGTATATGAAAAATGTTATTCATGGCTAAAAATAGCATTACAATGAATGCACTTGTGTTTGCTATTAAGGACATTTTATTTGTGAAGCATCAAATCATAACAGAAGTTATCTCAGTACACTTTTTATGTAACCATCCAATAACATGACTGTTTTCTTGCTGAATAACAAATGAAGTGCAGATAATGTGTGGAACTTTTTGTGAACGTTTTGCTATTTGAGCAACATGGTCATGGTACTTTAAATCTGCCTGTATGTATTAGAACATGACAGCAGCACTTACGGTTCATGTACCTTCACAGATTGTATTAACGTGTTAATCAACTAAAACAATGAAGTGAAAATAACCTCTGTGTGTTTGGTCAATGTGGAAAAAGCCTTGGTTTTTTGAAAGTGTGTTCATGGTAAATTGACAGGAAGTCAAAGAGGAAGCTGGTCACCATCATAGCTGATAAAAAACTTAAGTGTAAACTGTCACACATTTCAGATCTTGAATAGTCATACATTGTCAACGGAAATTCACTTTGAGAGATACAGTATTTCTCAGTTAACAGTCCAAACATCTGATCTCACATTAGTGCACAACTACTGTCAGCCACAGTGTGTAATGTGCAGAAATAATAAAGTTTAACTAGCAGCAAAGTTGTCTGTGTATCTTTTATTAGATCAATCAAGAACAAGTTGTGTATATTATCACATTTGTATCAAGGAAACACCCTTCAATATAACACTTATACTTCCTATAACCTTCATGACAGTAGAATTTATAATAGTTCAATGCTTGAAACGACAGTGACTGTAAAACGCAGAAAGATAGAGCCAGTGTTCTGTGTTACTGTTTAACATGGCAGCCTCCATGAAAGGCATCTGTAGGTATAAATGGCTTTTTCTAAGAAAACAAAGACACAACAATTCTTATTTTTAGGTGATTACACTAATGAAAACATAGTTATGCATATTATATTCCCTTTCTGCCAATAGATCCTCCAAAATGTTACACACTGAACCTTTAAGGCAGAAGTGCTAAATATTCAAAACACTTTCAAAAATATATTTAAAATCCATATACACTTTGTGGGGTAAGATGACCATATTTATCACAAATTACCAAAACTATACTAGTTTATACATAATTATACTGTAATCATATTCAAACATCAAGTATATTTTTACTAAATGAACAATGTTCTTAAGGGGGGCTTCATTCTGCATTTCGCCCTCCTGTTTTTGTGCAATCATACATTTTAAAAAAGGTAAACACACAAAGAAAATTACATTTAAGTTGTATTTAAAGTTAATTAGACACAATAAATCAGAAGAGGCCTTCAATAGTGAAGCATTTGTGAAGTAAAGCTGCTTCAATCTTAAGGAACTCATCAGATATGAGGTGGTAACTGATCATGAAAGTAAGACTGATTAAAGAGTAATATCTACTGATTGTGTTTCTTAATTCACACTGTATACATGTACTTGTACAAATGTAGCAGACATTAGACTTTTCAGTGTTTTTCAAACAATTACAGACTGAAAGGTGATATTTTGGCCATGCTCTGGGCTCACATTAGAATCATGGAGCTTGTCACCTCCTTCTTTCCTCTATACTGCACTGTGCAGTTCAAAGTCACGTTGAAGTCAGCAGGTAGAGGGTTAAAGGTCAGGGTTGACACTGTTTCCCACGTCCAATTATTCAGCTTCTTTGATTGGTGTGTGATGATTCCAGTGCGACTCCAGGTGAATTGAGGGGGAATAGATGGGCAGGTGTGAGACACAGAGCAGGAGGCAGTTACGTCATCATTCACCTTCACAGACAGAGATGGAGGCGGTGGATTGCCTGCAGAGTTGAAACATGATATCAACGTGACTCACAATACAATGGATAAAATATCACTTTACTGCTTAAAAACGATTAATTTATTCTATTCAATACTCACGAATAACATCAATGGACACTGCTTGGTTTATGTAGGAGAAGCTATTGTATCGCGGCATTTCGATCCTGAAGTAGAAAGGGCCGACATCAGTCTGCCTCACGCCATCCAGCAGCATGGTGCAAGATTGCAGATTTCCCAGAAACTGGGTTCGTTTTCTGTACTCCTGAGCCAGTTTCCATTTGGGGAGATTGGTTGAGACAATCTTCTTCCCTTTCATCCAGAATCCTCTCCACCTGTTCAGGATCTCATTTGAGTTAGGTTTGGGGTAAGTGTAGGTGCAGGGAATAACCACACAGGAGCCCTGCAGGGCAGGAATCTTTGTAGGTACGGTTGCTGTCCATTGGCCATTAGAGGACTGCACATCCTGGATCCCTTAAAACAATAAAAACAACTCTGATTTATCCTTGAGTGTAAGATGAAGATGAAGTTTTTGTTTGAACAGCAATTTTTAATTTTGAGACTCACCATGTAACAGCAGAAAGGAAAGCCACCACTTCAGCTCCATCACTGATGAGGAATAGATGTTTTTTGTTGTATTTGTGCACACATACAAATAATTCACTCACCTCTGAATATGCCTTCACTTACAGAGCTTGTGAGATTTGTGCCATGTCTTTGGGTGTCATATTTATAGTCTAGCTCCATCGTTTAAAGTTTCAAGTGTTACCAAATGTTTTTTTGTGAGTTGATTTTTATTCAGCTACAACAGAAGCCCAGGAGACACATGTTGTTGCAATATGTCATTACTTTCTTGTTGACTGTCCTCTGTTTAATATGTTATTTCTGTTACTTTTTTCATGAACAAATGAATAAAGAAAGAAATTCCACAGAACATTGAGTTCCAGTAATGCACAAAAGATACAGTTAGGCTCACCCCAGATGAAAAAACATGAGATGTATGAAAAAAGATGAGTCAACAAGTGTTAGTGTTATGTGGTTTAGACCATCACATGATGTCAAAGACATTTTTAAGCTGAAGGCCCTCCGAGTCAAGTAGTAGTTGTTGAATGTATTAGTGGCCTATTTTTTGTTGCAGTTTACTTCTAACTTAATACAAATTTACTTCTATTAATACAATTCACCTATGTGAGTTTGCAGGTAACATTCAGGTTAATTGAAAAGTAATTTTGAGGAGACAGGGATGCAAACATTGGAGCATGGAATTAATATAAGATTATTTACTGTATATATTCTAGTATGGACAAATCTTTTTTGTAGTTTAGTTTGTCACATAAGAGAAAACTACAGAATAGGCATGCAGTAAAAACTAACTTTACACAAAAAATCTGAGAGACAAACCCTGGGAAGACAACAGTCTCTGAGCTATGTTGATAAACCAGTGACAAATATGCAGGACACTGATACAACCAAGGTTGAGAAAGTCACATTCCTCTTCAAAATCTTGTCAGCCTCCTTTGTTTGGTGCAAATTTGCCTCCAAAGCCAGTTTGCACTGACGTAGTGTATTCATTTAGTTTTTCTCTATAATGGTGAAGTTTCTTATGACAAGACTATGAGGTGACGCCTCTAAATGCAAAACTACTTCTTGTTAAAAGAAGCATTGTCATTGATGAGTCATTAATAACTAATAACTTAGAAATGTGAGAGAGTGAAATTTGTGTCAGTGCAGTCACTGTTGCTTGTGGTGAGAAGTAAGTAATGCTTACTAACATGCAGCGCTTTTCAAAGTGCTTCACAGTTTAAAAAAAAGATGAGGAAAAGCATTCAAATTAATCTGAATATTTTTTGAACATTCTGAACAACTTGGGGCAAGAAAGCACCATTAAAGAGGATAAAGATGACATTAAAAATGAAACCACACTGGGGCCAAGAAGCAGGAAAATAGCTAAACTAATGAATTTCCCATCAGCTGGGATGCCCTGGGAGCTCCCCTGGTAGAGTGTGCGCCCCATGCATACATACTTCCATGCATCCATATATACTTAGGTTCTTATTATATTTCTGATTCTATTATTTACTTATATGTATTTACCTATATAAACATTTCTATTCAATATATATTGTGTTAGATATTGTAATATAATTATTATTTATATTGTTTAACATTGTGTGAGCACCTTGAGCAACTGTAAAAAACACATTTGCCCCTAGGGATGAATAAAGTATTTCTGATTCTGATTCTGATTCTGATGCACTAAGGCTGAGTGCTTACTGCACCAGTCTGTGTTTGATTTCAGCCTGTGGGCCTTTGCTGCACGGTGTCCCCTCTCTCTTTCCCTCTTCCTGTCTCTCTTAAGCTGTTGCTGTCAAATAAAGGCATAAAAAAGCCCAGAAAAATAAAGAAACAAATTCCCATCAACCTGGCAAATGTGAAAATGCTAACACTGTAAAATAAGAAGGTGAACACGGTTCACAGAGCTGCTAGCATAGCTCTCGACTTCTTGTCTGTTTATGTGCAGTGACATCAGCTCAGCTTTGACATTACTTTGTGAAAGAGTACAAAATGTGAACATATGTCTGTAAAAAACAATGTGGTATTATCAATTGTATGTTTCCGTGCAGACGCCCCAGTGAATGTGAGGGTTGAGCACAAGTCAGCTGTAAATGACGGAGAAGCAGTGCAGCTGATGTGCTCCAGTGGTGCTCACCCTCCTGCTGCAGTTTACATCGTTGGGTTTCAGTGGTTGTGCAAAGTGTCAATAGCTCTTTTCAGGGTCCTAAATTAAAAAAATTAATTCTGCCAGTAGGGGGAGATCTGAAGAGGAACAAACATCTCACACGCTGCAACATAAAGGTTTTAGTTGTTCACCTCAGTTTAAAAGAAAGTTTCCCCATGATGTTAAATGATACAAGGAAGCTGATATTGCATAACCTTGTGTGTGTTTTTGTGGCAAAGACAGTGACTGTAAAACGCAAAAAGATAGAGCCAGTGTTCTGTGTTACTGTTTAACATGGCAGCCTCCATGAAAGGCATCTGTAGGTATAAATGGCTTTTTCTAAGATAACAAAGACACAACAGTTCTTATTTTCATATAATTACACTAATGAAAATATAGTTATGCATATTATATTCCCTTTCTGCCAATAGATCCTAAAATATATTACACACTGAACTTGTGCCCAATATTCAAAACACTTTTAAATATTTTATTTTCGTATTAATTGTAAATATTTAAAAAAAAAATACACTTTCTGGGGTAAGATGACCATATTTATTAAAAATTACCAAAACTGTATTACTTTATACATAATCAAACTGAAATCATATTCAAACATTCAACAGTTTTTGTGCAATCATACATTTTAAAAACTGTAAACACACAAAGAAAATTACATTTAAGTTGTATTTAAAGTTAATTAGACACAATAAATCAGAAGAGGCCTTCAATAGTGAAGCATTTGTGAAGTAAAGCTGCTTCAATCTTAAGGAACTCATCAGATATGAGGTGGTAACTGATCATGAAAGTAAGACTGATTAAAGAGTAATATCTACTGATTGTGTTTCTTAATTCACACTGTATACATGTACTTGTACAAATGTAGCAGATATTAGACTTTTCAGTGTTTTTCAAACAATTACAGACTGAAAGGTGATATTTTGGCCATGCTCTGGGCTCACATTAGAATCATGGAGCTTGTCGCCTCCTTCTTTCCTCTATACTGCACTGTGCAGTTCAAAGTCACGTTGAAGTCAGCAGGTAGAGGGTTAAAGGTCAGGGTAGACACTGTTTCCCACGTCCAATTATTCAGC